GCAAGGAAACTTCTCGGAACTGGAGCAATGAGAGGGAGCTTGTTGAATGATGGCATTTACCTTAATCTTAAATTTACCTTTATCCTAAAAGTAATATAAACAAGATTTGAAGGACTTTAAGTAAGTGAATCTAGAGGATGGATGGAATTAAATTTGTGTTTTGAAAATATGTGTAGCCTGAAGGATAGATTAATGGAAGAAAGTTTGGATATAGGCAGACCAGTCAAAAAGTTCTGTAAGTTCAAAGAAGGGGCCTTATTACACAGACTGGGCTGTTCATGATGAAGAAGAAATAGCAAGAAAATCAACAGAATTTGGTAGTGAATTGTATGTATGGAAACCGTAGAAGTAGATAAGAAATTATAATGTCAGTGTTAAGGTAGATAGAGAAAAAAATAATAACTACTCAGATTGTGGTGTGAAACTTCTCCAGTGTTAGTGCCAATGAGATAAGCACCCTGCAATGTGAAAAAACAATCTTCAATATTGATATTCTTAAACCTACAAGGATTCCAAATATCAGCACCCTTTTTTCGGCTCATTACAATGCTGCTTTGCTGTCTACAGAAGTCTTCTCCTTTCTGCAGTACCCATTTATAATTTTTGTCTCGGAATTCTCACTTAAGTTAAGTCTACTCCTGTAGAAGGTATTTCACTGCCTGAGTGAAAAGCCTTCCTAATTTGAAGGACATCACTTAGGACTTAACATTCATAAGGGGACTGACATTTCACCAGGGAAAGATAACCTTTGAATGCTGAAGATTTCAGGTTGCTAGGCAACCCAGCCAAGTAGACCAGAAACCCTTAGGAAATAGATTGTATGTCTTAACCTCCTCAAATGGTCACATTTCCAAGCATGACCTGAAAGCTATATATGTTTTTAAGGAAATTCTCTTTGTAAATATTCTAGGCCCCTTCTTAGCCAATAATGAGGAATTCTGATTGGAAATGTGAATCTACTTACAAACACTATGAAAGTAACACATTGACTTAAATAGATTTTCCAATATTTGAATCAACTTAAATTTGTAATTGAGATTCTCTTATCCTTTTAGTAATTGCTACCTAAATGATTTAAGGAATGATCTCAATTATTCTTATTCATATCATTTGAATGATCTATTTTCCAAACAGTCAAAAAAAGTAGGCCCTCAACAATTTTTATATGAATGGTTTGCGTAATGAAGAACTGTCCATGAATTCACAGAGACAAATTCTCACATTTATTTTGAAGTTGTTCAGTTTGACTTTTCCTCTCAAGACAAAGCCTCTTACAAAATCAGAGAAAATAATAAAACTGTCAGATGTCAAATTGCTTTTCATGTCAACCCATTCCCCAGTGTCCTTTTTCCCGAGTTTTGATTTCTTCTAAGAAAAAACTGAAGTATAAATTCAAAACAGAAAAGCTAAATTCTTATTGTAAGGTCTTCAACTATTTAAGTAAATATATAGAAATAAGTGTGTACTTTAGGTACAAACATTTTTTCCATTTGTCCCCCTTAAAAGAATAAGATGGAAGCAATTCTATTTATCCCAGATTTTTTATATCTGTTTCTTCATCTGAGAACACCCACCTCTGACAGTGTTGTTGAAAATGTCACTCCCAATATGATAGTTTCATTATTTTATCCATTGTCTGTGGGCTGGACAAACTAAACCTATTCTAAGTTTAAACAAACTTCAGCCTAAACTATTAGAGAAACCACCATTTTATAGTACAAAAAAATCTAATGAAAGATCTTAAGTAAGATATAAAATTACAAGGCCAATGATATTGACATTGAAATGCTAATATGCCTTTATTTTTTAATATATATTTTTATTGATTTCAAAGAGGAAGGGAGAGGGAGAGATGGGAACATCAGTGATGAGAGAGTATCACAGATTGGCTGCCTCCTGCATGCCCTCTACTGGGGATCAAGCCTGCAAATCAAGCATGTACCCTGACTGAGAATCAAACCCTAATCTCCTGGTTCATAGGTCAACACCCAGTGAGTGAGCCATGCAGGCCAGGCATGCCTTTACTCTAATATTAACTTTGATCCCATATTTTGAATCTTATGTGCACTTTTTTTCGCTTCTATTTGTTTCTTAAAGTTTTTTGTTTTATTTTGTTTTAGTAGCACATGACTTTCTGTAATTTTTTCTTTTTATATTGTTCTGTTGGGTGTCTATTTATTTTTTGTTTTACTTTTGAACCAAATGCTGGACTTATATATGTAGTAGAATAAGGTTTATACATTACAGATGGGAAATTTATATATGGAAACTAGAGGCCTGGTGCACAAAATTCATGCTTGGGAAGGGGGGGGGGGGGTGGGTCCCTCAGCCCAGCCTGCACTATCTCCAATCCGGGATCCCTCTCGCAATACAGAACCACTGGCTCTTAACCGCTCACCTGCCTGCCTGCCTGATACCCCTAACTGCTCCACTGCCGCCAGCCTGATCACCCTAACTGCTCTCCCCTCCTGGCCTGATCCCCCTAACTGCCTAACTGCTCTCTCCTGCCAGCCTGATCCCCCTAACTGATCTCCCCTTCTGGCCTGATTGCCCTAACTAGTTGTAGGAGTGGGCAAACTTTTTGACTCGAGGGCCACAATGGGTTCTTAAACTGGACCGGAGGGCCGGAATAAAAGCATGGATGGAGTGTTTGTGTGAACTAATATAAATTCAAAGTAAACATCATTACATAAAAGGGTACGGTCTTTTTTTTTTTTTTTTAGTTTTATTCATTTCAAACGAGCCAGATCCGGCCCACAGGCCGTAGTTTGCCCACGGCTGGTCTAACTGCTCCTCTCTGCCAGCCTGATACCCTTAACTGCCTATCTGCTCTCCCCTCCTGGCCTGATACCCCTAACTGCCTATCTGCTCTCCCCTCCTGTCCTGATCCCTCTAATTGCCTATCTGCTCTCCCTTCCTCTCCGCACCCTTCAGACCCCCAGCGCAGGTGTGCTAAGAGTTCTCCGCCACAGTTCAGCCCCTGTCCTGATTGGTCATTATGTGACGGTGTCCTGGCCAATTTGCATATTTCTCTATTATTAGTATAGATATGGAACAATTTGCTATTATTGTGATTACTAGTGGCCCAGTGCACGAAATTCGTGCACATTGAAAGGGAATTAATTAGAGGAAATATTTTAATGTTGCTATTTGCCCTTTCCCTATAATAAAAGTGTGAGAGATAAAAGGAAATGAGTACAATGTATATGAAAATAATACATAATTTTATTAATAAATAAACAATAATAAAATGATATAACAAAAAACTCATGATGTAAAAACAACACTGGCGGGACAACTGTTGCGGGAGATCTGGGCTGGCGGGGAGACTGCTGGCGGTCACAGTCGCCCCGGATCTCCCGGAGGGAGGGCCGGTTGGGTGCGTGACTGATGGCTGACAGCCCGGATCTCCCGGTGGGAGGGCCGGTTGGGGGCGTGACAGCTGGCGGACTGCCAGGGTCACACCCGCCAGCCCTGGGTCGGGTCGCACAGGGGTCGCCCGCCATCCAGGTCACAGATAGCAGGCCCGGATGGCGGTGGGGCAGGCAGAATGGCGCTGTCCCATCCTGCCTGCAGTATGCAAATTAGCCACCATCTTTGTTGGCGGTTAACCATCTTGGCTGGCAGTTAATTTGCATATCGCCCTGATTAGCCAATGGGAAGGGTAGCAGAGTGACACTAATTACCATGTTTCTCTTTTATTAGATAGGATAATTATAAATGAATAACAGTAGTAGCTACTGTTGCTTTTTCTAACACAGATTCTATGCTTTCCTTATTTCCTAAAATGGACTCCAACTGTAGATGATGATGACAATTCACCTGAATAACCATTTTCACTATCAGCTTGTGTTTGGATGTGCTCTTACTCTAAAATGGGCATTACTGTAATTGTTCTGCATGCACTGTCTATTTTATCTTCAAATTAATAATAATTGAATAGGTATTTTCATGCTGGCTTTACACATGGAGAAACTGGAGTTCAGGGAGCCTAACTGAATTGCCCCAAAGTCACCCAGGAGTAAATGGCAGAGTTTGAAATCAAATTCAGGTATGCCAAGTGTAACAGTTCATGTAACTGAGCATGAACTTGCATGATCTCCCTCTGTCTTCATCTCCTATATCCTATTTTTCCAATTGGCCCAGGAGCAGGGTCTGTGATAGTACAGTATTACCAGTGGAATGTCCAAAATGGAGTCAAAATCCCTCGGAGGCTTTGCTTCACCCCTCTCGAGAGTCCCCCTGGATCCTACGTGGCAAGACTCATCATCAGTGTCATGGGCTTACGAAACCCTTTCTAGCATATCTTTCTGTTCTTAAATATTTCACAAGAGGACACAGCCATCCCAGAGAGAGAGCAGGGAAGACAGTGAATGAATAACCTATATTTTATTAATTTAATCTGTATTATGTAAGTATTCATAAGTACTTTAGGGAAAAAAAAACACATAGAAGCCAAAAGAAAATACATTTTTAAATCATGTATAATGCTCTCTTTCTAGTCTATTCATTTTCATCTAATATCTTTAATGTAGTTATAATGCACATGGCCCTCTGGAAATGTACTAGTCTACTCCCACAAGCAATATATGAAGATGTTCATTTTTCAACACTTCACCCAAACTAGGCCTGGTTAATGGTATATTTTAAAACTATTTTATAGCAAGATACTTATGGGTATAAAGGAAGATTTAATATTGTGTTAGTGTTGAGATTATTCCATTTGAGTAAAGAAACAAGGCACGTTACTCACTGCCTGATGAAAGATAGATTTACTAAGAAATATTAAATTTTGGTAGATTATCATAAATGTTTGCTCTCTCAAAACGTTCTTAGATTACAGTTTCTAATAGCATCAGAAACTTCAGTTTTAATGACTTGAATGACATTTATTAACTTTCCTATTCTTAGTGAAAAATAAACCAGCATCATTTCATCGCCAAAAAAATAATTAATCTGCACCACAGTTCCTCTTTTGTGAGTCATCAAATGCCACCTACCTGTGACAAGTTACTGAGCCAGTAGAAGGGATTTTCCATCCTCTGCAATGGCTTGCTGACAAAAAAATGAAAAAAAAAAATTATAAAGTACACAAGTTAGTTTTACTTTCTCAAACATGGGATTTTATTTATTTAAAAGGTGGCTTATACTTGAAAAAGCTACATAAGAAATCTGTATCTTTGTTTTCTTTTCATACATATGGATCTATATCTATGATTAAAAGCCAGGCCAGATATTTTGCCTCAAAAAAGAAAAAGTCCACTCATGTAGTGCTTGAGTATTAATCAGTTGCTCAAGGGCAGTGAAAGAGTAAAAATGTTCTGTACCATGCACAAGGAAAACTATAATCTAATCTCAGTGTTCCTACATGTTCATGGATGATGCATATTCTGCCTCAGGCTCATCTACGTACCCAAGATCAGCACCAATATGTTCTTTGCCTAATTTGGCTTTGAGTCACTGCCATGAGATTATCCACAGTTTAGAACAAAATGATTCTTTTTTAGAATTCTGAGTAGCACTTTATTTTGATTTAAGATTCCATTTTTAGGGTCCATTGGAACACTTTTGCCCTAACTGTTAATTTAAGAAAAGTTAAAGTCCTCAAATAAAACAACAATGCTAAGAGAAAGAGTGTAAGGTACAAAGCTAAATTGAGGCTCCACCTCCTTGCACAGCACTTCATAGAGGTTTCTCATTCCGATGCCAGTGAGGATCCAGTTTAGGATTGGCTAAGGCTGAAAAAGGGTGTGACGTGGTTTATTTTGGTATGTCCTCTCTGGAAATTTCCTTCTTTTTTTTATCCTTTTTTAAAATCATTACAATTGGATATGCTGGATAACCTCTCCTCTTTTTCCTTCTTCATTCCTGTAACTCAAACTATATCCCCAGAGATGCAACCACCATCATACATCCAGAAGGACCAAATAATACAGAGTTAGGACAATAGGAGTTAAGTCAGCCTGAGTTCTTGATGATGTTAAGACATGTACATTCACAGCGTGGTTATCTTGTGATGAACATAAAGCCCTTACTTCTTTAAGCTACCACAACAGGGATTTTCTGTACTTGCACTGGAATGCATCATGGTATAAGGTCTGACTTCTAATCCTCTCTCTGAGATGATTTCCTGCATGTCCCAAGTCAGATATTTTGTCTCTGCTGTTCCTACATAACTTTGGCCATGTAGTTTAACAATAAGAAAGTTTTCCTTGAAGTGCAAAGCAAAAAGTACACAAATCAAAAGATATAATTGATGGCCTATTACAGAGTGAGCACAAACTTGGAATGAAGTCAAGAAATAAAACATTCGCAGAAACCCAGAGTGCCCCCTTGTGCCCCCTCCTAGTCACTACCCTCCCCTTCTCCAAAAGTAACCAGTACCTTACTGCAGCCATCATAATTTAGTCTTTCCTGTTTTAAACTTACATAAATATTATACACATGGTATATATTTTTTTGGGTCCATTGTCTTTAGAAAAATATTATATTTGTTAAATTCCCTCAGGTTGTTTTATCTAGCAATAATTCATTCATTTTAATTGTTGTTTAGCTTTGCATTGTATACATATACTAAAATTTATTTATCCAATCTACTGCTGATGAATATTAGACTGTTTCCAGACCTTGGTAATTAAGAGTAATACTTCTATAAACACTTGTGCATGGCTTTCAGTGCACATATGTAGAGATTTCTGTTAAGTATATACCTAGGAGAGGGATTGCTGGGTTATATGGTGCATATGTCAACTTTAAGTGTAATAACGAGCACTTTGTACAAATGGGTTCTTACCAGTAGTGCACGGTAATTTCAGCAGCTCTACATCTGTACTAATAGTTGGTATCTCAGTCAATTTTATTTTAGTCTTTCTTGTGGGTATGAAGTTACATTTCATAATAGTTTTAACCTTCACTTTCCTTAACTACAAATAAGAGTCAAAACATTTCTTATATGTCTTGATTATTTGGAAACCTTTTCATGTGTGTAACAAGTAACTGTTCAAGACTTTTGCCTTCTTAAGAGAGTATAAATGAGCTGTCTTTTTCTTGTTGATTTGGAGAAGTGATTATATATTCTGGATATGAACTCTTTTCAATTACCTGTAATATAATCTCTTCCACTTTGTGACCTACATTTTCACTCTGTTAATAATGATCCCAATTTTAAGGTAGTCTAACTTACTAATGCTCTTTAATGTTTAATATTTGTAATTCTATTTAGGAAGTAATTGATTATATCAAGGTCTGAAGTTTATTTTCTAGGAACCTTTTGATTTTACTATTCACATTGAGATCTACAATAATCCTAAACTTATATTTGTGTATAGGGTGAGGTAAAGTCAAGATAGATTTTTAAAAATGTAATATCCATGTATCATGGTTTCTTTATGATACAATATGTGACATCTTAAATTTGAGGCAATATTCTAAGAATCCATGTTATTTGCAACGGCAAAATACAGCACAGCGTAATAAAACTGATAAAAAATGTTGTGATGATAGAAGCTGATATATTTAAAAGAGACACATTAAGTTTTTAAACTATTAGAGAAGGATAAGAAATGACTTCAAAAATTAGAATGACAATAAATTATATACATCAATATGAATTCATGATTTTCAATAAATGTTCCCAGTTTTATTACCAAATTTAGTTTACAGTCCTCGGCCACAAAATGTTGATCCCTAATACTATTATTCACTAACATGAATGGACTCCATTGTTTAGGACAGGGAAATACAAAATGTGCCTAGAATAAATATCCTGCTCTTAGACAGCAAGAGTGCTTTCAAAAATATCTGGAATAGTCAGCCAGTGTGGCTCAGTGATTAAGCATTGATGAATCAGGAGTTCACAGTTCAATTCCCAATTAGGGCACATCAATGATTGCCCTAGGAGGCAGCCGATCAATGATTCTTTCTCATCATTGATGTTTCTCTCTCTCTCCCTTCCTCTCTGAAATCTTAAATCTTTTACAAATATCTGGACTAGCCCAGCTGGTTTGGCTGAGTGGATAGAGTGTCAGCCTGCGGACAGAAGGGTCCCAGGTTCAATTCTGGGTTCCATTCCGATCAAGGGCACATGCCTGGGTTTCATCCTCAATCCCCAGTAGGGGCTGTGCAGAAGGCAGCTGATCAATAATTTTTTCTCATCATTGATGTTTTATCTCTCACTCACTCCCTCTCCTTTCTTCCCTGAAATAAATAAAAATATATTTAAAAAATATGTATCAGGAATAGTGCTAAAAAGAACAAGATTCCCAGATAAAAGGATAAGATAAAAAAATAATAATTAGATTTCACCGAAGAAAGCTGCCTTTAAAATGCCATGGGTCTATAATATTACTCAAAAGGAATATAAAATAGATTATATACTAAATTCATGAATTTAAAAATATTTTAATGTTCAATATGGATAAGCCCAAATAATTTAAATACCATGTCTTCAAGTTTTTATCATTGCTTAAGTTGACTATCAAAAATATTAATATATGTTAAATAGTATGTATATTACATATAATATATTATGTATTATTTATATAAATATGTTTCTGTATCAATACACATAGCATATAAATGTTAACATATATATATTCAGAATTAACCAAACTAGGCTTCTATTTTTGTCAATTGTAGATAAAATTTTATTAAAATAAACTGGGTATCCAGGAATTTAAAAGAGTAGGAAGAAATAAAATACAAGGAGAAATTAATTTGAAGACTAAACATTATTTAAATCAGAGATTTTCAAAATGCAGTCCCCCAACCAGTAGCATCAACATCATCTGGGATTTGTGAAAATGCAAATTCTTAACATTTCCCTGTCCTACTAAAGTGAAACCTTTTCTGGAGATAAGTTTTGGCAATCTGCATTTTTTAAGCCCTCCCAATGAGTCCAATAAACATTAGAGTTTGAGAACCACTAATCTAATGAGACTACAGTCATGTGCCACTTAGTAACAGGGGAAGTTTTTGAGTAATGTGTCATTAGGCGATTTTGTCATCGTGTGAACATCATAGAGTGCACTTATACCAATCTAGGTGGTATAGCTTGCTATATACCTAGGCTATATGGCAAAGCCCAGCGATTTTCAACCTATGTGCCACAGCACACTGGTGTGCCACAAGAATTTTTAAAACTAGCAATGCCTGACTATGTAGTCAGGGACACTGGCCTCTTTTCCCTTAGATTGTCAAATTAAAAAAATGTCAACAGTCAATACAACAAGAGCTGTCTGGTGTGAATGAATCAAAATTAGGCCCATTTTTTTTGTCAGATTGGCAAAAAATATATTTTAGTCTATATCAATGTGTACTGTGAGATAAAAACAGTTAAAAATTGCTGGTATAGGCAAGAGAAAATGATGCAATCAAGAGACAGTAAACATGAGATATATGAGGCTGCTGCTGGCATGACACAGAATACTATTTTTTAATAAATATTATTATTTATTAAAATAACGATAAAAATATAGTGAATTCATAAACCAGTAAGTTTTATTATCATTATCAATTATGTACTGTCCAGAATTGTACATGCTGTGCTTTTATAGAACTAGCAGCTCAGTAGGTTTGTGTACACCAGTATCACCACAAGCAAATGAGTAATGCTTCGTGCTATGAAGTTTCAAGGACTACCACATTACTAGGCGATAGGAATTTTTCAATTCCATTATAATCTTATGCAATCATCACCATTTTTAAAAATGTTTTTATTGATTTCAGGGAGAGGGAAGGAAGGGAGAAAGAGATAGAAACATCAATGATGAGAGAGAATCATTAGATCGGCTGCCTCCTGTACCCTCCACCTACTGGGATTGAGCCCACAACCCTGGCATGTGCCCTGACAGGGAATCAAACTGTAACCACTTGGTTCATGGGATTGACCAAAATATTTTAATGTGGTGCATGACAGTATTTAAATCATTGCACAGTCTGAGCTTGCAATTGTGTTAGACACTTAGCACTGTCCCCGTATACAGAATGTCCCCCCAAAATATGTACACATATTTTGGAAAATGAAATGTATTTTAATAAAGCTGCCTTTATAATTATTCAAAGTATATGTACACAATTTGGGAGGGACACCATATATATCAGAGGTACTTGACTGGTTATAAACCAAATAAAGAATCTACATTTTCTCTACACCACTGAATTAGAGCAAATCATTTTTGAGACCTCACAGGACCCAAAAGTGCTACAGTGTGGATTGAAATCCTGGTGTGTCATAATATAAGACTGCACTTCACATGCTGGCATCTTTCTCTCTCAATATGCATTATAACTCTTCCTAAGAAGGCCAGGATAAAAGAAAGAAACTTGCCTAAGATAAGCTTCTACCATCATCTTAGGCTCTATACCAGCGGTTCTCAACCTGTGGGTCGAAACCCCTTTGGGGGTTGAACAACCCTTTCACAGGGGTCACCTAAGACCATCAGAAAACACATATATAATCACATATTGTTTTTGTGATTAATCACTATGCTTTAATTCTGTTCAATTTGTAACAATGAAAATACATCCTGCATCACAGATAATCACATTACGATTCATAACAGTAGCAACATTACAGTTATGAAGTAGCAACGAAAATAATTTTATGATTGGGGGTCACTACAACGTGAGGAACTGTATTAAAGGGTCGTGGTATTAGGAAGGTTGAGAACCACTGCTCTATACTATAGTACATATCAGTATCTCTTATCTTCAGATCTGCATATATGAAGGTGAGATGTGAAGGAGCTGAGGTCTAACAAGGGTAAATAGAGCACCCAAAGCCACGCAGCCAGCAAGGGCAGAGATGGGATCCTGGGCTAACTCTTCCTGAATCCATAGCCCATGTTCTTTCCACTGGAACACTGTTCCTCAGTACCATACACTTCTAATATGCACACCACATGTTCAATAAAGTTTATTGGGTGAATGGCGAGTGAAGGAATGACCTGAGTTTCCCTATTACTGCCTTTTCAGGGGCACTCTCAGTGGACTGGTTCCAGACAGCTCCCATTAACTGGAAAGACACTTTGACCAACATGATGTTCCACTTAACACAGGATGCAAGAAAAACACTGGGGTCACTGAGGAAGGTGACATCACTAAAATGTTTAGATCCTTGTAGAAGAAACATCTCAGTCCCCCCAAGGTATCAAATTGTTTCCTCGGTGCTCCCTGAAAACATTTAAACTGAATAAAAGATATAAAAGAAAGTTTATATCTTTCTTCAATGAATATGTAAATTTCAATACCTTAAAAAGCATAGTTTACTAGTCTGATGTGCTCATGGTTCATTCAATTTAGCTTACCTTCCAGATAGCTTTAAAAGAAAACTTAGAACTCAATTTAATTCTAAAATCATGTTAAAATTATATGGAATGGCCTCAGCAGCAGATGAATGCCATAGTAGCGAATGTTTCTTGGAGGAGTCATGGGGCAAGCAAGAGAAAGAAACCGATTAAGATGCCACAGACATTAGGAACTTGAAGAGCAGCAGGAATGGAAAACATGGGGGTGACATTTTAAAGCTGTGTGTGGAAGGCACGTGTACAAAATATTTTGTCAACAGGATTTCTGCATATACCTCTCACACACTGTTTAGGAAATTGACCCCAGAATAGAGATTCTCAATTTTTCTTTGTTCCCCCCTTGCAAGCTGTCTAGCCTATGTAATTAAAGTCCACCAGCAAAGTAGTACGCAGGTGCTGACAAAGCTAGGCATTTTCATTTCACTCAACTGCAGTTGTGAAAATAATCTCTCATCTGCCTCCTACAGCAATTTCCACCGCTGGTTTTTTACGAGGTTTCTCTGCCAGGTCTAGATGACATTCCCCCTCTCTTTTTCTGGTAGACATTCACTGTGTCCAAGCACATTTATTAATATTTGATCAAATGCATGGTAACATCTTGAACCTTTATTCTTGGTAATAATAGAAAATCATGGCAGAGGTCTCTAAAAGAACAAATTGTGAAGCAGAATCTGTTGTGAGATGCTAAGAATCGTTGATTTTCTCTTTATATCTTTACAAGTTTGTAACCCATAAGTCCCAAGTCATTACCACCACATGGGCACTTACAACATCATGTTAACACTCAGACCTCAAATTGCACATTAAATAGCTCAAATCTCATCATGTAAGATTCAAAACGTCTTCTGGACCAAACACACAAAACCCCCTCTGCAAATCTATCTCTCTTCTGCAATCTTGTTCTGTGGTCCCTTTTTACCTACGCTTTCAGTTACTGGCACTCAACCATGGTACAGAAACGTTAAATGGAAAATTCCATAAGTAAACAATTCATAAGTTTTCAGTTGAGCATCTTTCTGACTGCATGATCAAATCTCTTGTAATCCCATTCAGTCTAGCCTGGGATGTGAATCAGCCCTTTGTCCAGCTCATCCACACTGTACATACAATACAACAGATATGGTGTGAGAAAGAGACCACATTCACAGAACTTTCATGACAGTGCAACTGGCCCTTGAACACATGGGTTTGTACTTCATGGGTCCACCTACACGTGGACTTTTTTCAATTGACCCACACAGTTCAATTGACCCTCTCAGTTCAAACCTGTGTTGTTCAAGGAGCAACTCCATGGTGGGGAATCCATGCATGTGGAGGTCTGACTGCACTTAAATGCAATTTTTTTACTTCATGGGACTTCAGTTTCCTCAACCTCTACAATCTTTAAGGGTCAACTGTATATTGTTATAATTGTTCTATGTTATTATTGGTTGTTGTTGTTAATCTCTTACTGTGCCTAACTTACAAATTAAACTTTAAAGAAAAGAAACTGTCTTCATTTGCAGATGACCTGATCATATTGGTAGAAAATCTAAAACAGTCTACAGCAAGCTTTGAGAACTAATAAGTAAGCTTAGCTAGTTCTTATGAAATAAAGTTGTATTTCAAGACTGGAATAAAATTTTGCAAATTAAAACAAAAGTATCATTTATAATAGCCTCAGAAAAGGGCTGAAATACTTATCTAATAAAATGTGCCAAATTTGTATCCTGAAAATAATAAAACATTGATAAAAGAAATCAAAGAAGACCTAAACAAGTTGAAAAATTACATTGTGTTCATGGGTTTAAATACTTAATATTATTAAGATAGTAATTCTCCCCAAATTAATCTCTAGATTTAAAACAATCCCTTCCTTAGTGCCAGCAGAATTTTGTATACATTTTAAATATAATTAAAATAAAATCACAGAATAGCTAGAATATTTTTGAGAAAAGGAACAAGGTTATCTTGCTTCCAACAGTAATATATCAGAGTTCTAGTGGCTTTGTAATTCTTGCAAAGCGTGATTTCTAGCCTGTCTACAAAGCAAGAGTAGTCAAGATAGTGTAATACATGCAAAAAGGCAAATATCTAGATACATTAAACAGATAAAAAGCCAGACATAAACAAACACTTACGTGATCAATTAAATTTTTTAAAGATGACAAAACAATTCAATGAAGAGAGGATAATCTTTTCAACAAATCATGCTTTAATCATCTCCAATGACCCTTGACCCATACCTCACACCAAATACAAAATTTATTCCAAACTATATCATATACCTACATGTAAAATCTAAAATGGTTACAAAAAGGAGAAAAAAAACCTATGTGACTTTTACTAAAGCATAACTTTTTTACATATAAAAACATTATTTCTAAAAGAAAATATTGATAAATGATACTTAATCAAAATTTAACACTTTCATTCTTTGGAAGATATAGTTAAAATGAAAAGACAAAGGGGCAGACTATAAGATGATTTTTCTAAATCTATATCAAGTAAATGACTTGTAACAGGATATGTAAAGAATCTTGCCCAGCCGGCGTGGCTCAGTGGTTGAGCGACAACCCATGAACCAGGCCATCATGATTCGATTCCCGATCAGCCAATAAATGATTATCTCTTATCATTGATGTTTTTATCTCTCTCTCCCTCTCCCTTCCTCTCTGAAATATATATATTTCAAAAATATATATATATTTTTTTTAAGTAATCCTTACAATATAATTATAAGGAAACAAAACAAATGGGTAAAAGATTTGAACAGTCTTATCACAAAAGCACAAAAAAAAGGCATACAAATAGAAAATAAGCAGAAGAAAAAACTGATTGTACTGGAGTGGATGTGGAACTATTAGCACTTTGATACATTACTACTGGGAAGGCAAAATAATAGAGCCAATTTGAGACATGGTTCAGCAATTTTCTAAAAACTAAATATATAGTTTCCATACAACCTAGCCATCTTGCTCCTGGTATTTATACAAGACAAATGAAAACATATGTTTACCCAATATCTGTACATGAATATTTATAGCAGATTTATTCACAATCGCCAAAATCTAGGAACAACCAAATACTGCTCAATTGGTGAAGAGACTATCAGTGGTCAGCAAACTCATTAGTCAACAGAGCCAGATATCAACAGTACAACGATTGAAATTTCTTTTGAGAGCCAAATTTTTAAAACTTAAACTATATAGGTAGGTAAATTGTTATTAACTTAAATAGGGTACTCCTAAGGCTTAGAAAGAGCCACACTCAAGGGGCCAAAGAGCCACATGTGGCTCACGAGCCGCAGGTTGCTGACCATGGGACTAACAGATTGTGGTACCCTTACTAAGAAATACTACCTACTAATGATAAAAGATAAGCTACAGATATAGTCAAAGCATGATTGAGTCTAAATACATTATACTATTTGAAAGAAACCAGAGTTAAAGGACTATAAATTCATGATTCAATTTATATGGCATTCTAGAACAGGCAAAACTGTAGGTACAGAATCACATCACAGGTTGACAGGGGATAAGGTTAAGAAAAGAGATTGATGACACTGGGCCATAGGGGGAATTTTCATGGTGATAGGTATATTCTATATCTTGGCAGAGTGGTAACATCTGGCAATATGTTGTCAAACTCAGTAAGTATGCATATACTGTATAATGGATAAATATTTGTTTTATGTAAGTTATACCTCAATAAATCTGATTTTTTAAAATCTCTTTAAACAGCTATATAACGGGTCTTAGCTCACCTTACTTTTGATGACTTTAAGGCAAGGGGAATTTAATACAGCCTTCATCTCTCAATGTTCAGGAATTCCAAGACAAATTTGAGGCTGAACACTTGGAAAATACTTCTGCTCTTCCCTTTTGACTCTGTGTACTTTCCAAATGGATCTATTAAGAAAAAGTTTATTTTATTGAAAATATAAAATAACAAACTTAAAAAGAAAAAAAAAATAATAAGGCTGTTCCAAGAGACCTCTTAGGAGAATGACTCAAACATTTGGTCTAAGGCAGAGGTTCTCAACCTTCCTAATGCCGCGATCCTTTAATACAGTACCTCATGTTGTGGTGACCCTCAACCATAAAATTATTTTTGCTGCTACTTCATAATTAATGAAGCAAAATTACATTTTGCTACTGTAGACAATATGTAATTATATATGTGTTTTCTGATGGTCTTAGGAGACCCCTGTGAAAGGGTCGTTCGACCCCCAAAGGGGGTGCAACCCACAGGTTGAGAACCGCTAGTCTAAGGGAACTCAAAATTCAGAAGTCTGTGGTCAAGAAGTTGGTAATGAGGTGGTTGGTATCCCCACTTAGCACAGAGGTTAGTCTTACAATCAGGTGATTATAAATAAAAACTACATGACACCTCTCTCTTTGCAAAGAAATAGTGGCCCACACTTCAACATATGTACTGTAAATCTTAACCTAAAGTTCAAGGGTTAGCTCTGCTTATAATGAGAAAAAATTTTTGTAAAAAAATAATTCACTGGACGCCCTAGCTGGTTTGGCTCAGTGGATAGAAGATTGGCCTACAGACTAAAGGGTCCCGGGTTCAATTCCCGTCAAGGGCACGTGCCCGGGTTGTGGACTTGATCCCCAGTAGGGGACGTGCAGGAGGCAGCCAATCAATGATTCTCTCGCATCATTAATGTTTCTAACTCTCCCTCTCCCTTCCTCTCTGAAATCAATAAAAATATATATTACAAAAATAAAGTGATTCATTGGAATTAAATCTTCCTATGTGAATCACCACCAAATCTGAATGTCTAGCGTTTCAAATATACATAACATTGATATCATTTTTCTCCATTTGGATAAGATAATGTTGTGAGTAGTATGCTGTAACAACATCAGTATTTTTATAAGAGAAGCAAATATCTTATAGTCAACCTTTGGTAGGACAGCATCCATACTAAAACCAACTCAGTTCTTCCAAGATAAAACTTTTGTTTCTAGATTTGAAGAAGACCAAGCGCTAAATTTTCCCTGACACATTCTTGTTTTGGGCAATTATTTTCAACATAAAATAACTTATATGCATACATGCATAACCCATGGACACAGACAATAGTGCAATGCATACCTGGGGAGCAGGTACAGGTTGGAGGGAGTCAATGGAGGGAAAAAGCGAATATCTTTAATGCTTCCAACAATAAAGACAATTTTTAAAAAGCAACCTTTTCTTAAATTTTACCATCATTTAAAAATCTTACAATGCAATAACATAACATTTATTGGTGAAATCTGTTGACTCATCAACCTGTAGAGAAACTTGTTTTTCAGTATATTACACAAAATCTCTTTAATCTGCTGTGACATGTCATCAATATGTCAACTGACTGCACTGTTTGAGACCGGAGCCTTCAATTCCCTATATTGCATCCTGTCCAAACATTTTACTTACTATAATTTTACATGCTGACATTATTAGTTTCTCACCAGCTGTATGATTTTTCCTCTTCTGGGCAATAAGTTCAGTTACTATATAAATTGATTCCTGAGGCTTTCAACTGAACATGACTTCTTAAATACAAAACTGTATTCTGTTTTATGGATATGATAGCAATTTGCCCTGGCCAATGTGGCTCGGTTAGTTGGGTGTCATTGTTGTGTGCACTGAAAGGTAGCCAGTTTGACTCCTGGTCAGGGCACATGCGCAGGTTTCAGGCTCAAACCCTGGTAGGGCATGAGCAGGAGGCAGCTGATCAATGTTTCACTCTGACATTGATGTTTTCCTCTCTCTCCCTCTCCCTTTTTCTCTCTCTAAATGTACAGAAAATATCTTTTAAAAATAATATAATAGCTATTTAAATTAAGCAGTACTTTTATTTGTGAAATGATTGAGTTGAATTTAAAAGACTTTTAAGTTTTATTGGAACCTTTGCTACACATACTTGTTATGATTCTCCATCATTCATTGCATCATAATTGCCATTAGCCTAAAGTTCTCTTCCATGTCTTACCTCATCTTCAAGCAGCACTATGTTGAATAGCCAGACATATTTTTAACACACAGAGGCTAATCTCTCTCTCTCTCTCTCTCTCTCTCTCTCTCTATATATATATATATATATATATAGATAGATAGATAGATAGATAGATATAGATATATATATATCTATAGATATCTATAGATATATATATATATAGATAGATAGATATAGATAGATAGATAGATAGATAGATAGATAGATAGATAGATAGATAGATATGCAAATTAGGCAAGGGCACCATAACAGTCATGACCAGCTCAGGAGGAGAGGACTGGCGCGGGCCCAGAGCTTGAGAAAACAACAGACAGGACGGCCCACACCCAGCCCCAGAGCCGGAGAGAACAACACACAAGGGGCTGGCCCCCAGCCCCAGCCCCAGCCCCAGCCCGGTGACTGCGGCTGGGGCTGGAGCAGAGACACAAAACTGCAGGGGGACTGGTTTGATTCTGATCAAGGGCATGTACCTAGGTTGCAGGCTCCTCCCTGGTTGGGGCCCAGGTCAGGACTCACACAGGAGACAACCAATCAAAGTGTGCCTCTCATATTGATGTTTCTCTCTGTCTTTCCCTCTCTCTTCAACAATCTCTAAAAATCAATGGGAAAATATCCTCATGTGGGGATAAAAAAAAAAAAAAAGAAAGAAATGTCATATCCTATGAAAATGCCTAAAGAAAGTTGTCATATTTTTGTGGTGAAGGGACTGGAGTCTGTGTTGATGAAAACACCTTGGCGGTTGCAGCGGCCAGCAGTGGCAGCGGCAGCAGGGTGATAGAGGTAACGCCTTCCCCTGACCATCCTGGTTGCCTCCCACATAGGGAGGCCAGACTGCCCATGGGGAGCGGGCCTACTCCATCAGTAGGACATCCCCTGAGGGCTCCCAGACTGTGAGAGGGGGCAGGCTGGGCTGAGGGACATCCTCGCCACCCACCCCCCCAATGCATGAATTTCGTGCACCGGGCCTCTAGTAAGATATAAAATAGAAGGGCATAATAAATAAGTGAAACATAAAATTATAGAAACTGAAGTAAAATGTCATAATCCTCTTTGTATCAAGCTTACAAAAGCAAAATTCAGAAAAATGGCTAAGACCTGGTAGGGAAAATTTTCTTTTTTATGTTGAAAGTTTCCCTCAAATTTTATGTTACACTGGAAGAGTTTGTTCAGCCCTGTGAGTCAGTCTGCTGCACACAAGGAGGGAAGTAATTTAGAGGGAGAAACTGCTGTCATCATCATACTGTCCTACTCTCCCTCTAATGATCAGTGGTGTCCCCTATCTTGTGTCAGAAACTGAGAACAGATGCAACCAAACGAAAGGGCCCTTCTTACTGTGTAGCACAATACAAAACTGATACACAAAATAAAAGTGCTAATGGCACTGCTCAGTCAATATTCACTACTGGCAGAGTTATCCAAAACTTCAGAGCACCTAAAATTTAAATGAGAGTTTCACTAATAATGGTCTCCCAAAACACCCAGAAACATTTTGCAGAATCTCAACTGAAAAATTCTATTAAATCAATAAAATATTGCTTTATGGGTAACACAGAGACATTTTGAAATAAATTGCAAACCTGGAATTAGATGTCCATACTAATGGGATGTTGATATATGACTAACAGGAAGTTTAATTCAGTGGGTAAAATATAAATAATTTAATGAATAGTTCTGGCAAAACTGGCTAACAATTTGGAAGAAAAAAAATAACCTGTAATATCCTAAATACCACAAATAATACTCTACAATAAATTTCAGATAGATTAAATGGTTAACAGCAAAAAAAACAAACAAACAAAAAAACAAGACTTGCAAAGAACTCTAAGAAAGCATAATATCTAAGAATTAAGGAGTTGTTGTTGTTTTTTTTCCCTAATTGAAACCTAGAAGGTATGAAAAAAAACAGAATGGACAAATAAAATTTTTTATATGGGCAAACAATACCATTAAATAAGTTAAAAGAAGAGTAATTTTTCTAAAACTGTATAATGTAGATGATAGACCAGGGATTAATTTGTATGATATACACTAGCTCTTACAAGTTGGAAAAAAATTAATATAAAAATGTGCAAATCATAGTGGATCATTCACAGAAGAACAAATCCAAATGAATACAAATATGTTAAAATGTGCTCGATAACAATAACTGAAATGCAGATCTAAGTGAGAATTATGTGTCATCTAAATTTTAGAGTCTCGAGTTTGTTCTGATGGCAAATGATCTCATGTATTTTTATTGGGATTGTGAAGGACTACTTTTGGAAAGGAACTTAGTAACATGCACCCAAAAATAACTCTTATGGTAATCTACCCCAGGGAAAGAAAAATATCAACTCATAAAGACAATAAAGTCATGTGGATAAGGAAGTTTAGTCAGTCTTACTCACAGTGGCCAAGAACTGGAAGCAAAGTGATCGCCTATCAACAGAGGGATCGCTCGCTTGATAGTGGGGCTCCACACCATGCAATATTACACAATCCTTAAAAAATGGATTTAAACTGTTGTAGATAAAAATGTTTAACATATTTTAATGACTAAGAAAATGGACATACAAAAGAGTAACTAATAATATAGTTTTATTTTTATAACTCTAGCATTTAAATATCGTTATTTAATATCAATCAAAAAAAGAAAACAATGTATGGTGGGTATTAAGTATGTGTATGTATAAATGGGCATATAATAATGAAAAAATATACACATATACTTTATGTTATGAACCAAAGGACTTGCATGCATGCATATAAGCCTAACCAATGGACACAGACAACAGGGGGGTGAGTGCATGAGTGGGGGGACGGGGTATAGGGGAGATAAGGACACATATGTAATTCCTTAACCAATAAAGAATAAATACATAAATAAATAAATAAATAAATAAATAAATAAATA